CGTCGTCGGTTCCATTACATACTGTTCAAGAAAACTATCACGGATACACTCAACGAACTCCTCCTCAAGGCTACCCTGACCGAGCTGGTTTGACCAACCTACATGTAGATTAAAATCCCCCATGATAATTGGCGTACCATTTTTACAGGCATTAGTTATTTCTTTGTTTATTGCCCGCCCCAATGTGATGTTATTATTTGGTGGCCGATAGACTACGCCTATCAGTGACTTTTTCCTCTTAGAATTTCTAATTTCCACCCAAATGGATTCAACCTCATTCTCCATAGAACCTATATCATCTCTCAGCACCGCCCTGATGTCGTCCTTGAATATCAGAGCCACACCACCTCCCTTACCTTCCTGTCTGTCCTTCCGAATAGTCTGGTACCCTTGGATATTTAACTCCCAGTCGTGACCATCCTGTAACCATGTCTCCGTAATGGCTACCAAATCATATTCATTCACGATGAAATGTGCCGTTAACTCATCAACCTTGTTACAAATGCTACAACCATTCAAGTAAAGTGCCTTTATGCTAGCTTTCTTACCATCATGATTTCCAACATCTCTAATAATATCTCCTGAGTTATCCTTCTTTTTTGCTTCTTTCATGTGAAGGATGTGGTAAATAATTCAGAAACAATGATGTAATGGAGTAGGGATTTAACTAATGACAATCATAGTGTATTAGGAAGGTACACAGTGTACAAGCATAAGAGCACATCAGCAGATTAAGGCCAGAGATAGGAAAAAGGGGAAAAAGACAGTTAAAAATTCTGTACCTGAATGCTGGCAACATTTGTAACAAATTGGATGACTTGTTCACACATACACAAAAATACCGGATATAAACTGCAGCTGTATACAGTGCTGGTGAGACCACGCCTGGAGTACTGTGTACAGTTTTGGTTTCCTTGAGAAAGGATGTACCTGGTGTGGAGGGTGTGCTGAGGAGGTTCGCTAGGTCGATTCTGGAGTTGAATACTAAATAAAAACCGAAAGAACTGCAGATGCTGTAAATCAGGAACAAAAACAAAGTTGCTGGAAAAAGTCAACAGGTCTGGCAGCATCTGTGAAGGAAAAAGCAGAGTTAACGCTTCGGGTCCGGTGACCCTTCCACAGGACTACTGTTTTGATTCTGGAGTTGAGAGGGTTCGCTTTTGAGGAGAGATTGAGTACACTGGGACTATGAGGGGGAAATCTTATATGAACATATCAAATTATGAAGGAAATGGATAAGATAGAAGCAGGAAGGTTGTTTCCACTGGCGGGTGAAACTAGAACTCAGGGCCGTAGCCTCAAAATAAGGAGGGAGCAGATTTATAACCGGGTTGAGGAGGAATTTCTTCACCCAAAGGGTTGTGAATCTGTGGAATTCACTGCCTAGTTAAGCAGTTGAGGTTATCTCATTGAATGTTTTTAAGGCAAAGATAGATGTTTGAATACTAAAAGAATGAAGGGTTATGGTGAGCGGGTGAGTGAGTGGAGCTGAGTCCATGAAAAGATCACCGGTGATCTTATCGAATGGCAGAGCAGGTTTGAAGTGCCAGAAGGCCTACTCCTGCTCCTATTTCTTACGATAGCCTAAAAGATAGATGGTTGCAGATTAGCCATGGCTGGGATTTGGATATTGAAGGATATCTGACATTTTGAATATATAGGATGCTTGAAAAAAAGCTGATGGGGCAATTCTGTTAAATAAGCATGTCAGTAGTACAGTGGTTAGAGATGACCTTAGCTCAAATGTGCAAGATCAAAAATAAAATTCAGTAGAGATAAAAATATAGTAAAGACAAGAAATCACTTGTGAGAATAGTTTATGGATCACTCAACAGTGATTATGCTGTACAATAAGCATATAGGAAGCCATAAATGGAGCATGTAGGAAAGGTATCACAATACTCCTAGGTGACTTTAATATATATGTAGATAAGGTTAAGCATATTGATAGATAGCCTAGACATTGTGTGATGCAATACACTCTTTTTCTAATAGTTCATGAAATTTAGGCTTTGCTGACTGGACCAGCATTTATTGCCTATCCCTGATTGCCCTGAGAAGGTGGTAGTGAGTTGCCTTTTTGAACCATTGCAGTCCATGTGGTATAAGTGTACCAGCATTGCTGTTGGGGCTCCTGTATTTGAATCCTCTTGTTACGAAGGCCAACATACCATTTGCCTTTCTCACGAGCATGCTTACTTTTAGCAAGTGGTGTACAAGGACACCCAGGGGTCTTATTGCACTGCCCCCTTGCCCAATCTGTCACCATTCAGATAATAATCTCCCTTCTTATTTTTACTGCCAAAGTGGATAACTTCATATTTAATTTCAACTGATGCATTTGCCCATATACTTAACTTGTCCCAGTCACACTGAAGCATCTATGTATCCCCCTCACAGCTTATCCTCCCACACGCTTTGGGTCACTGGCAAACCTGAAGATGTTACATTTAGTTTTCTCATCGAAATCATTAATGTATATTGTGAATAACCAAGCACTGAACCCTGCAGTATCCCACTAGTCAAATTGTGTCCTATATTTAGATGGCTTGGTTTGTTACATTGTATCATTTTTCCTTTTGAAATAACCTTCTATTATATTGTTGAAGAAAATCTGTAGCTTCATATGACTATGCTTCAATAAATAAGCATTATGTCAGACTATTCTTGGAGTTTTGGTTGTCAGGTCAGATTGCATTCTGGGATCTGACTTGTGCACTTTTACCATCAGATGGGATCATATCAAATTGAGTGAGTGGGGAACATTTAGCAGATGGCTAAAGTAGGAACAAGTGAACTAGTCCACTTTGGCACAAAGGATAGAAAACCATTTACTATTTAAACAGTGAGAGTTCGCAGAACAATTTCAGCAAGATCGGTGTGTGCTGGAACATGAAATCACAAAAAAAGTGATTAGAAAAGCTAATGGAACTTAGAAAAATTTGGGGTTAAATGTGCAAGATCCTGAGAGGGCGTTTGCTCTTGTAGGGGAGACTAGAACTGAGGGACAAAGTTTAAGAATACAGGGTCTCCTTTTAAACACAGATAAGGAGAACTTCTTTTCCTTTTGAGTGTTGTTAGTCTGTGAAATTCTCTTTCCCAGAAAGTCTTGGAGGCTGCTTAATTGAATTTATTCAAGCAGAATTAGATAGATTTTTGAGACAAGGGAGCCAATGACAATGGGAGGAATAAGAAAAGTGTGGTTGAAAGCACAACCTGATTAACTGTTAGCCAGATTATTGAATGGTAGACTAGATTTAAAGAGTCAAATGGCTCAAACCTATAAATGCTATGTAAATTCATTGAATCGCTCCTGCGTCTTTGACACTAAGATGATACTAGTGCTGAGAGGTTTTAATTATTAAATATTAAATTAGGAAAACCAGAAAGGGTCAAGACAGGTACACTGTGTGACAATAGCAGTTTTTTTAATGTGCATACCAGAAGTGCTTTCTCAAATCGATCAAAGTAATAGGTGGAAAATAATAAATGAGAAATTTGTGTTGGAGTGATGCAGGAGAAAGAAAGTTACAGGAGATTAAGTAAATAAACAGAAGCCATTTTACTTATCTTTATTTGTATTATTATAATTCCATAATACATTTTGGTATGTCATTATTTTGTTGCTCAATCTTTTGTTTCTGAAAATGTTTTAAAAAATCCTAATCTGCACCACTATATTCTTCTCATCTTTCTTGTCTTCTCCAACAGTTTGGTTGTTTCTCAAGAGTTGGCACTGGCGAATTGGATAAGTCAAAATTTTATAGGTTAGAATTAGAATTAAAATTAAACTGGGATTGACCGAAAACTTGAGTGGATTCAAGGTTGTACATTATCAATCTTAACAAAGACTGTTACACCTCACTCCTAATTGCACAACTGGGTCCTGTTTGCTGTTATAAAATGTGTAATTTAAAAGGATCTCCAAATGTTGAATGTGCTGCTCAAATTGTTCAATAAAAGCAGTGACAACAGCAAATACAAAATCAGAGGTAGCAACATCAAACAAAAATGACCATGAGACTAACTGTCCCTACCCAATTTCTACAACAATTTTCCCAGCCTTTACCACAATACTGTGGCTTCTATATGTTGAAGCTCAAAGTGGAAAAAAACGTTAACACGGTCCTCAAAATATGCAACATGAATACTTAGGTGTTCTGATTGGATCAAGACATCTTTCTTTGTCTCCCATTTCCTGCTGTCAATGCCTTTTCAATGAATAAAATAAATAAGTTTTAAAACACCAAGGTTAAACATTAGGTAGAATTTATACTTTTGTTTTAACAAGACTCCAAGGGAAAGTTAAGACTTTTTACTTTGGAGTTAAAATTAAGCAATAGTCCATTACTGACTGCTAATCAAATTGTAGTCGGTTATGCAGGTGATCAGTAAACTGAATTTTAATACCAATTACAAATGGCAGACTTTAAATATGGGTAAGAATCTACTCAATCCAGAAAAACGGATTGATCTCAAACACTTTCCAACTTGGTGCATTTCTTGTCAGTGAAGCATGTAAATACAGACATTGGTTTTGGTCTTTTTGGACATCTATTGGTTCTCAGTTGGAGGTAGGAGCCAGGAACCAGACTGCTTCTGGTACAATTCACTGACTATGCCAATGAATTTGCACTAGAGGGCAGTCATGACCTTTAATGACAAATGCCCTGCTTGTATTAGCAGGAGGCCGGAAGTGAAAATTTCAAGCACCTTTGAACTGAAAGCAGCTGAGACCAGTTTGCTTAAACAATCAATTGTACATTGCCTTCAAGTCAGAAATGTTTAACTAAAGTTCAACCTGACATATGTTCCAAATCACACCTTAATTGAAATAATTGGCTTCCGATAACCAATCTTGAAGCATTTATATACAGGCATGCAAGAGCAAGACCAACACTGTTCAAGTAATTTCTTTAAGTTACCACGGGATGACGGATTATAAATTCTGGAGTAAAAATTCATCTCAGAAATGGCAGAATAAAGTCAGGCATCCATTCTGTACAGCACTTGATATTTAATTCCATTGATTACAACAGAACTGAGCATCAGGCTGGGTGGATATTGGATAGTCATCCCAATAATGTCTGTTTTATCATCACCATCAGAGATCAACCTCTTTCTCAATATCTTTAAAACATCCAAAAATATGTATTAGCAGCAAAAACAAAGAATAAACTTTATAATGCAGTACAGTCAAACCATACAGGTAAGATGTGGGTCCACATTCATTCAGGTCATTTAGAAAAAAAAATCAAAAATAGAGATCTTTTATTTGCATTACAATTAAAATTGTAATTGTTCAGTATGTAAAAATGCCTCTGTCCATAGTGTCCAATTGGTGTTCCTGATTTAAACAAAAATAGGTCATTTCCCAATTTGAACAGAGCATTGACTGTCAAATTCTGGACCAGAATTTGTGTCATTTGCATGTGTTTTTTTTTCTGGACTTGGAATGTTCCCAAATAACCGATTGAAAAAACAAATATATTCTTGCACTTGTCACGGCATTGCATCCACATAGTAAACACACGTTCAAATAAACCACGTGGCATAGAGTATGGCACTTTATACAGAATCTTTGAGCACATTTACTCTTCAAACTTGTGAACTAAAACCTCTCAGCTATCTGGAAGATGAATTTTCAACATGTGTACAAAGCCAATTTTGTGCTGAACCAAACAGGTTTTTGTGTGTCCAAATAGAGCATAAGAAACTATGTCCTGAAGTAGATAAATGCTGATCATCGCACCACAGATCTACTCTGGAAACAACTCAGCAGGAGAACGTGTAGCATTTGGTCAGCAATAGGACTGGACATACTAACAAGATTCTCTGAATTCTTACCTATAGTTACATGATGTACAGCACAGTTGACCCAATTTGACTATGCCAGTTCTTGTGCTCCATGAACCTCCTCACATCCTACGTTGCTTTAACTCTACCAGCATACCCATAAATCTATTTCTCTCTCACATACGCATCTGGGTTCCTGGTAAATGCATTTACCATGAAAGATCTGCTGTCCTTTTTTTTTTCTTCTGATTACACATTGTGCTTGAGTAAACTGATCTGCTTTTGCAAAGATGCAGGCACAGTATATCAACTAAAAGAAAACCCCAATTAATCAACATTCCTCCAATATCTACAACCTAGCACAATTTTTTTTTAAAACTTGATTTCATCACTTTCAAAATGCAAGTCTTCTTAATTGCAGATTTTTGACATCTTGACTGGAGGTTGCAAGGACCTTAATCTAGGGTCCAGGTCGTTATATTGGTAATAGCAGGACAAACCATAAACTTGTTTGTATGATATTGCTCAGTTCACAGCTTAATGGCAGTATTAGCACGATTATGAACGTTGCTTAAAAGATTATCTATGGGTTTCACCAAAGGTAATATTTATATTCAAAGACGTCTAGATTCTGGAAATAAACATCTGGTCGGTGAACGTCCAGAGAAAGACATTCGGTTCTGACAGAGCCTGTATCTAAAACTTTTAAGCTTTTATATTTCTGGATGCTGATGGACAAGTTGTAGATTGCTTTTTAGTTTAGATCTTGTTAATTTACTGGACCATTTTCATCACTTTTTCCTGAAAAAAACGAGTAAAGGACTGTGCAGTATATAAATATCTACATTGTGCTACTAATTACACAGCAAGTAATGGTTCATTGTTTATGAAGTCCTGAAAATATGAAAGGCACTATATATTTGTAATTTCTTTCCAAGATGCAGTTTTGAACAGTTGGAAGCACCGACCAATGATATTGATCTTTTTGTAGTCCCATCATAGAAGAGAGTAATGGTCTCCTTTTCAGACTCAATTCCTCATTGCCTCAGACATCATTAAAATTCTCATCTCATCCTCTTTTCCATATATTAATGTACTTTGCCTACAGTTTCATCACTATGGATTATTCAGTTGCAAGGGTACAGAGACACAGAAAAACACAAGCTCCAAACAATTGCAGACATAACAGGGTGTGGATTCCAGCTAAGTTCTTGGGTCACAGAACTGTATTTGTAGGGAGTTCTATTCTGGTTTTTATGGAGATATGATAACAAAATTGGAAGTCCCCTTCATTCATAAATCTCTGCAACTCATGCCAATTAACAAAATTATATTTTTCTCAACAAAAAGCTCTTTTTAATCAGATTTCTGCATTCTTATGCCCTTCAGCCAGCTAACAACAGGCCATTGAAAGTTTCGCTGGCATTTCCCAACACTTGAAAACCAGAAAAGGCCATAGAATGTGTTTTACATAAGTACTGAAAATTTTGTTTTAATCCCTTCTAGCTGGGATCTTTAATTTAAGTGAAGTATTTGGTATAATTTCAGGACTCCTTTAGAACCAAGCACGCCATATATTGGAGGAGGACAGCTAAAGGTGCATCCCAGAGCAACCACATTCACTTCCAGAAAATCCAGTGCATCAATAGATTGCTTTTGAGATGGCCAAATAGGTGAAAAGCTACCAGTATTCACGTTTCTTTTATGCCCCCCTCCTATTTCGACCTTTGCCCAAGGGTTGGTATCAACACCAATACAAAGCACTACTGTTATAAAATCAAACTGAAACACTGAACACGTACCTTGATTAAAGTTTATCAAAAAGGGATTTTTAGGTGTTGAGGTCCAACGTGACTGGTCAGTTTGCTAGGCTGAAGCCACCTCTTTGAGGATGGGTATACTGACATATTAAAAAAGGTGAGTAGCACTACTCAGAGGGCTTTACTCAAATTAGACTCCTTAGCACTTCCTTCATTAGAACAAATAAAAAAATTACTTTGAAGTAAGTTTGTTTTCCTTTATTTAGAAACAGCTGAAATTGGTGCTAGAACCTAGATATTGGCAAGGTGTGTGCGCTAGACCCCACAATTGAGAACCTGCAACTCAACCCTCTTCCTACAGAAACATGGACAAAGACAGATGACGTGATACAGAAAGACAAAAATACAGGTTTTCTGTTCAACTTGAAACTTCTGATTGTAAAACGGCTACAAAAAAGGAAAGGAGCTAAGCTGCAGGATCCCTCAAGGAGGGAAATGAAATGAAAATTTTAACATGGACTAGTGCTCCACTCACAAATCTTGTAAAGGCCAGATCAGCAAAGTTGAAAGAGGCCATGCATTTGGAGCTAGACAGCACTCTTGGACAGGTTATAAAAAATCAAAAAACTTTTCTTTTTAAAATGTCAAAGAATAAATTAAAATCAAGTCCATTTACAAAACAAAGATATATGAACAAATATTCAGTCATTAACAAACTTGTGTAAGACAGCCAGTGACCAACAGTTAGTTAATTGGTTACAATTTATTACAATGATTTGAGCGCTTTATCAGGGCAAAAAAAAAACTAGCATCACCCTTAACTAGTTTTTAAACACTTGCCATGTTTAAGTACCTTGATCTATTTTATACATATTTTTCCAGTTAACAAGCAAACAAATATTCAGTCCTGAAGCTGCTACAATAATTTATATTCCTGTGCCAAATGTCGAGTTTGAGTTAAAGTCTTGATTAAAGAGGTCTTTAGTCTCAGAGGGCAGGGTGTCAAAGAGGTGATCCTCAACGACAAGCCCACTTTTCTTCAGAAGGCGGCAGTGGACTAACTCTGCTGGAAGTCTATCCAGGCAGTTCCCTTTCAGCTCTAGCTGTGTTAGCTGCACTAGCTGGCCAATCTTTTCTGAAATGGAAGTGATGCAGTTTTGGCCCACGTTCAAAACCCGCAACTTTGTGCACTTAAATACCTGCTTTGGCAAAATTTCCACTCTGTTTCCTGTCACTGCAAAATACTGTAAATTCTGGAGGGACATGATCTCCACTGGAATGACAGCAATGGAATTATGACTTACATCGAGATATCTTAGCTTCTGCAAAGTGAAGAGCGCTGCTGGGAGAGATTCCAGTTTATTCTGAGAAAGGTAAAGCAACTCAAGGTTCTTCACCAGACTGATGGATGAAGGAATGGTGATGATTTTGTTGTGCCACAGCTTTAGGCATGTCAAGCGCTTCAGATGTTGAAAACTTATCACCTCTTCGATTGTGCGAATATTGTTGGACTTCAAGTCCAGTTCCTGCAAGTTGGTCAAGCTGAAAATGGCATGTGGGATTCGTTCCAGCTCACAGTTCTGCAGTTCCAGCTCAGTGAGATTAATCATTTTCTTCAAGCTGTTCAGAACCAAGAGTTTTGTTCCATCATTGTGAACCAGCAGAGCAGTGAGATGAGGTGCAACGTCAGTGATGTTCGAAGGAATTTTGGTCAGATTGCTCTTCAGATGCAAGATCTTCAGGTGCTTCAATTCTCGCAGTGACTCTAGAGCTATCATCTTATTATTTTCCGAGTTTAGATTACCAACTAGGTACAGTTCACGCAGGTTTTTAAGCAGATAGACCCAGGTGGGAATTTCTGCGACATCAGTGAACTTGATGTGCAGGTACCTAAGGTGGTCCCGGAGGAAACTGAAGGCAGTTTGCTCCACTTTAGCAGGGCAGTGGTAAAGGTGCAGCTCCTGAAGGTTGGTCATTTGGGAAATTTTGGCAGGAATCTTTGCCTCTGGAATCAACTCCAGTTTCAGTATCTCCAGTTCAGTCATGTCAAACACTGCATCAGGCACCCCAGAAAGCATAAAGAGGTGCAGCTCTTGCTTGTCCTGAGGATTCCTAGAGACGTGCTGTTTGAGTTTTTCATATGTCCACTCGTGGTTCAAACTGAGCTCTCGCAGTTTGTTTTCACTCACCTCTGACAGGAAGACTCCAAAGCGCTTTGAATAAAGTTGGTCATACTGGTCGACCATATGTAGCAGAAATGCAAAGTCATTTTTAACATCTGGAATGTCACTAAAACTACTTTCTTCACGGACCTTTTCAAATGAGTATTCCTTCAAGGGCCGCCTAAACAGCCAAAACAAAGTATATATACAAACCAGCCCATAAACACATATGAGTGCAATATAACTAATTAATAGTTTTCGCAGCATGAAAGCCATGTTGTGAGTACAGTAAAACTGAGCATATCCAGTCAAATGTTCTATCTCTGGTTCGCAGACATGATTAAAGTTTATAGAAGTCACAAAAGTAAGTGTATAACATAAAATGAACATTAACTTTACCGTCTTTATGACTGTCTGGACAACATAGAGTTTATATATCAAATCACTGTCTTCTACATGAGCACGAAACTTACGAACCTTTTCAAAAAGGGCTTTGGCCTGCTCCCCATCTTTCTTGTCTAAAATAGTCATGCTGGGAACTTCAATAACTGGTTTCTCAGCAGAAAATTTAGGTCCGGTCCTGGATATCATGGGTGTGCTGGAGCTGGGGCTTTCTTCCTCGCTACCAGTCGATAAATGCTTTGCCACAGAGGTCTTAAAGCGTTGCTTGTTCTCCTCCGAATCCTCACATGCAGTTTCAGAGAGTGCTTTTGTGGTCCAGGGTGACTCAAAACACTTCCCCAGTATGGAAACAAAGTGCTCGATCTTTGAACTAGTCTTGGGGTACTTGAACCAAAAATTGCTGCTGACCATCAGGATTAGTGTATGGATTAATGCAAGGTAGGGAAAGTACTTGGAATACCAGGGCAAGGCCATATGGTAGCACATCTGATTGATGAAAATATATTGCTGATACTCCAAGTTCGTCGGGCGCCCAAAATTGAAAGGGCCTTTGCTTCCAGAATGATCGCCATCATCAGGTTGGTCAGTTGTTAATGGAGGCAAGCCATCAAAGGTTTCCCCAGTGGCGTGATTCCGGCTCCCTCTTGAAGACATGGTGCTTTCTAAATCTGGCATGACGGATGTTTTGGGAACTTTTGTAGGGCTCTCGGCGGTACTGCGTTGGGTTTCTGACCTCTCCTCTGATAGGGGCTCAGGAAGACACACGACTTGATCTTTGGTCAACTGCATTGTGCCGGCGAAGATAGCAACCATGAGCATTACAATGGCTAAATAATCCATGAATACATCCCACCATGGTTTCAGGATTCGATAGGTTGCCTGTATGTCATTAAGAGATGCAACTTCTGTGAGGGTAAACATTCCTGCAATACATTAAAAAGAAGGTAAGTTAGGGATGGTGGCAAATTGACGGGTCTAAATAGAGAACAACTTGGAAACTACAAAGTTGAATGCATTCCTCTGCTGGCGGTTATTAGATCAGTTTTGCAATGCAGCATGCTTCTAAGCCACAGATTTAATCTCTGACGTAATTGGAGACGATAGGTCTCAACTGTCTGGTATAAGGACACCAGAAAGACAGCCAGAGTTGGTTGTTTCTTTACTTTCAATTACACCTGCAACTCCTGCTTAACAAAACAGAAACAAGATCATGGTCATGGTGAGGTACTGTTTGCCATTAGGGGCAACATGTCAAACAGCCATTTAAAGGCTTAGCAGATGATGGTCCTCAGCAGTTCACCACCACCATGACAGCAATTAGGGATGGACAATAAGGAATACTGCTTGGGTCCAAACAATGAACAACAAAGGCCAGCATCAGATAGGCTAGTAGTTCCTCTGCACCCGAAATTTAGAAAGAGACAGGCGAGAGGAAAATCAACCCTTTCAGAGAAAATAAAAATAGGTACACATTCTCAAAATATTGACAGAATTTTAATCTTAAGGTTCACAGCTTCACTTCAGTTTCTGGTCAAATGGTAACCCCCAATGGATGTTGATAGCGAAGGATTCAGTGATGGTCATGCCATTCAATGTCAAAGGGTGATGTTAGATTCCCTCTTGTTGAAGATGGTCACTAGCCAGCCCAAGATCTGGATATTGTCCAGGTCTTGCTGCATTTGGACATGGACTGCTTCAACATCGGAGGAGTCATATATATTGTTGAACATTTCGCAATCAGCAGCGAACATTTCCAGTTCTGACCTAATGATAGAGAGAAGGTCATTGATGAAGCAGCTGAAGATGGTTGGGCCTCAGGACCTTGGTGGAGAGATAATACAATCCATATGAAATACTCCTCATTTGCCTGGATGAGTGCAGCTCCAATAAGCTGAGAAGCTCAACACCATCCAAGGCAAAAGCAGCGTCAATACAGTGTGGAGCTGAAGGAACACAGCAGGACAGGCAGCAGAGGACCAGGAAAGTTGATGCTTCCGGATTACACCCTTCATCAGGGTTGGGGGAAGGGGAAGGGAGTTTGGAAATAAAATTGGGGGGGGGTAAGGTGGAATGGTTATAGGTGGATGCAGGTAGGGGCTAGGCGAAGATTGGTCAGTGGGAAGGGTGGGGCAAATAGGTGGGAAAGAAGATGGACAGGTTGAGTCAGGTCAAGGAAGCCGGAATGACAGGGAGAGTTGGACATGGGATGAGGCCAAGGGTGGGGAGATTTTGAAACTGGTGAATTCTATGTTGAGGTCATCAGGCTGTAAGCTCCCGAGGCAGAATACGAGGTGTTGTTCCTCCAGTTTGAGTGGGGTATCGTTGTAACACTAGAGGCGGCCCAGGATAGACATGTCACCAAGGGAGTGGGAGGGGTTGGCAACCAGAAGGTGTTGTTGATTGTAACATACAGAGCATAGATGCTCCATGAATTGGTCACTGAGTCTGTACTTGGTCTCAACGATGTAGAGGAGACCACATCGGGAACAATGGGTAAAGTAGACCAGGTTGGAGGACATACAGGTGAATCCCTGTTAGATTTGGAAAGATTGTCTGGGACCTTGAATGGAGGGGAGAGGGGAGGTGTAGCGGCAGGTGTAGCATCTCCTGCGGTTTCAGTGAAAGGTGCCAGGTGTGGTGGGTTTGGTGGGGAGAGTGAAGTGGATGAGGAAGTCACGGAGTGAGTGGTCCCTACGAAAGGCAGATGGGGTGGTAAGGGGAATATCTCTTTGGTGATGGGGTCGGATTGCAGGCGGCGGAAGTGGCAGAGTATGATACGCCGGATGTGGAGGTTGGTGGGGTAGAATGCGAGGACCAGGGGGATTCTGTCTTTATTTTTGTTGGGGGGAGGGGTTTTGAGGGCAGAAGTGCAGGAAATGCAAGAAATGCGGTTGAGGGAATTATGGATCAATGGAGGGGGAGTGGGGTGAGGGGAGGGTGAAGTCGCAGTCCTTGAAGTAGGAGGACATCTGGGATGTCTGGGAATGGAATGCTCCATTTTGGGATCAGACACAGCAGAAGCGGAGTGATTGGGAGCAAGGGATTGCATTCTTGCAGGAGGGTGGTTGAGAGATGTAGTCAAGGTAGCTATGGGAGTCAGCGGGTTTGCAATAAATGTCATTGCTGAGATGGTTACCGGAGATGGAGATGGAGAGATCCCAGGAAGGGGAGGGAGGTGTCGGAGATGGTCCAGGTGAATTTGAGGTTGGGGTGAAGTGTTAGTAAAATTGATGAACTGTCCAAGTTCCTCATGGGAGCTCGAGGCAGTGCCAATACAATCATTGATATAGTGGAGGAAGAGGTGAGGGATGGTGCCAGTGTAGCAGTGGAAGAGGGACTGTTCCATGTATCCTACGAAGAGGCAGGCATAATTTGGACTTGTTCTTCACCACATCCACAAACATTCACTCCCTCCACCTCCGATGTTCAGTAGCAGCAGTGTGTGCCATCTACAAGATGCACTGCAGAAATTCAAAGATCCTCAGACAACGCCTTCCAAACCCATGTCCACTTCCATCAAGAAGGATAAGGGCAGTACATACACAGGAACACGACCACTTGCAAGTTCACCTCCAAGACACTCACTATCCTAACTTGGAAAATGTATCGCTGTCAGAGATTCATATCTTCCGAGTGAGCTGAAGTAAATCTCTTGACAGCTTCTCGATTTTATGGAAAAATATCCAGCTTTGATGTTATCCTTCTGCTCCACAAATGAATCTACAGGCATCTTGGTCCTTCATTCCCATGGAAATGCTTGCATCAGTGTGTCCACCAGTTCTCTACCCTTCACCTTGCTCCTGAGCTTTAATAGCCTGTGACATCTACCTCCAAAAATAGCTTCTTCACTGTCACTGGGTCAAAATCCTTGAACTCCCTCCCTAATGGCATTGTGGGCATACTAAACCAAATGAATTGTAGAGGTTCAAGAACACAACTCATCACCACCTTCAAGGGCAACTAGGGACAGGCATTACATGTTGGCCCAGCCAGCAAAGTGCACTTCCCAAAAAAATCACTTTACTCTGCTCCTGTTTTTCTCTTTTTTTTGTCACAGCCATATTCCTCTATGCTTGTCAACAAAAAATAGGAACTTGTAGAGAAACCAGTAAGTGCATGCCCATCAGCTTTCTCTTTTACTCCCCAAATAGATCTTCGTCTGTCAGTTCACCAACCTGCTGGTGAGCTGGAACATAAGCTAGCCTTTCCCATGGCCTGGCTACAGTTCACTCATGCCCAGTGATTCACTGAGTCTGATTCCACTTCTAACCCATTCACTTAGGCACATTCTGACTGGGAAGAAAGATTAGCTAGAGAGTAGGATGATCTAGTTGGATTTGCTACTCATAAGGATACCGTGCAAATACCTCTATGAGCACTCTGGAGGAAGTCAGGAAAGGTACAAAGTGGGTAGCTGTAGGCTTATCTAAGAAAGAATCAAGCTTTGGATGGCAGCTGAAGAGTAGAAACATTAAAAAGAGTAATGAAGATTTGTGATAGAGATTTTAAGGACAGAATCTGAGAGAGGAGAAATGAAAGGATTCACAACAATAGGAAGAAAGCATAGGGGTTCAAGGAGGTGAGAAAAGTTTACAAACTGTATAGCAAAAAGAAAATGTGGAATAGGAGTGATGGTGGTATCTGGAGCATTACTCAAAAACACACACAAATGAACACAGGGAAAACTCAAATTACACAGCCTTAGTCATGCAGCAATTTTTAAGATACATATTTCCTGGTAGTAAAGGATGATAGAGAGTGGAGAGAAGAGAGTGCAAATTTAACTCAAAAGGTCCTATGGTACGGTGAGGTTAATATAGGTCAGGGTAGTGCTGACATGAAGCACCAAGGAACTGTTGCCGGAGCTGTTTTTGGAGGTAGATGTCACAGGCTATTAAACCTCAGGAGCAAGGTGAAGGGTAGAGAACTGATGGACACACTGATGCAAGCATTTCCATGGGAATGAAGGTCCAAGATGCCTGTAGATTCATTTGTGGAGCAGAAGGATAACATCAAAGCTGGATATTTTTCCATAAAATCGAGAAGCTGTCAAGAGATTTATTTCAGCTCACTCGGAAGATATGAATCTCTGAGCAGAAGTCACACAGCTGAGTGTAAAAACCCAACTGAAAGTGGTCTGTCAGACTGTTAATGAGGGAGGCCTATAAGTCAGTTGAACTTACTTCAAACTTTAAGTCAAAAGTCACACAACACCAGGTAAAAGTCCAACAAGGTTTATTTGAAATTACAAGCCTTTGGAGCGCTGCTCCTTCGTCAGGTTAAGTCAAAGGAGCAGCGCTATGAAAGCTTGTGATTTCAAATAAACCTGTTGAACTATAACCTGGTGTCATGTGACTTCTGACTTCTTCCACCCAGTCCAATGCCTGCACCTCCACATCATAAACTTTGAGTAAGACGGTAGAATCTTGTAGTTTAGTCCAATGCAGAATACAGCAATGCTAGAACAAATCTGGTCAATGATAGATAAAGACAGTTTCAATTAGCTTGCAATTAGAGTGAACATGTAACTACTACTAGGGCTATAAAATAAACATTGGATGAAAGGAACAAAAACAAAGTTGCTGGAAAAGCCCAGCAGGTCTGACAGCATCAGTGAAAGGAAAAAACAGAGTTAACGTTTCGGGTCCAGCGACCCTTCCTCAGGACATAGATAAGCTGCAGAGCTGGGCTGAGAGGTGCCAAATGGAGTTTAATGCGGAAAAGTGTGAGGTGATTCACTTTGGAAGGAGTAACAGGAATACAGAGTACTGGGCTAATGGTAACATTCTTGGTAGCGTGGATGAGCAGAGAGATCTCGGTGTCCATGTGCATAGATCACTGAAAGTTGCCACCCAGGTTGATAGCGTTGTTAAGAAGGCGTACGGTATGTTAGGTTTTATTGGTAGAGGGATTGAGTTTCGGAGCCATGAGGTCATGTTGCAGCTGTACAAAACTCTGGTGCGGCCGCACTTGGAGTATTGCGTACAGTTCTGGTCACCGCATTATAGGAAGGATGTGGAAGCATTGGAAAGGGTGCAGAGGAGATTTACCAGGATGTTGCCTGGTATGGAGGGAAGGTCTTATGAGGAAAGGCTGAGGGACTTGAGGCTGTTTTCGTTAGAGAGAAGAAGGTTAAGAGGTAACTTGATAGAGACATACAAGATGATCAGAGGATTAGATAGGGTGGACAGTGGGAGCCTTTTTCCTCGGATGGTGATGGCTAGCACAAGGGGACGTAGCTTTAAATTGAGCGGTGATAGATATAGGACAGATGTCAGAGGTAGGTTCGTTACTCAGAGAGTAGTAAGGGCGTGGAACGCCCTGCCTGCAAAAGTAGTAGACTCGCCAACTTTAAGGGCATTTAAATGGTCATTGGATAAACATATGGATGATAATGGAATAGTTTAGGTTGGATGGGCTTCAGATTGGTTTCACAGGTCGGCCCGACATCGAGGGCCGAAGGGCCTGTACTGCGCTGTAATGTTCTATGTTCTATGTTCTATGAAGGGTCACCGGACCCGAAACGTTAACTCTGTTTTTTCCTTCACAGATGCTGCGAGACCTGCTGGGCTTTTCCAGCAATTTTGTTTTTGTCCCTGATTAACAGCATCCGCAGTTCTTTCGGTTTTAATTGGATGAAAGGAGATTGGAGGTTGAAAAGTCACAGGTAGTATTGAATGGCCAAGGACAGAGATGGATAGTAAGGAACATTCTCTGGAATTAACCTCCCAAGGAGCAAAGGAAGAAGTGAGGGTATTTACATCCGTAATAGATTCCCTTTGAAGATTAGTTGAACAACTTGCCTTTCATAAAATCATTTGACTCAATAGACAAAGTGCCATGGTACCATTTACTTAATGATAGATTCCGGTGTTTTCCCAATGAAAGTGTCAGGCAAACTGGCCTGTCATTCCCTCCTTTCTCCTCCTTTTCTTGAACAAAAATTTTACACGACTTCGTATACAAGTGTTTTCTGAGAACAAATTTATAATTTTGTTTAATTACCATGACAGATATTAATCATTCTCTGGTATTTGTAGTCTCATGTTAGAAGCTCATTTCTAATGCTATTTTTAAAACTTGTTCAAACTATGAAACATTTGTAGAGAAAAACATTTGCAAGAAAGTGACATTACGTACAAATGTTAATGAAAGTCTATGAAGATTGCCCTCATTCCACATGTCTGATGTTACCTTGCGCAACAAAAAAAAATCTTCATCACAGCGCAAACTGTGACTCAACAGAAGTTGAGCCTCTGCTACAGTTGGAGCAAAGTGCAAATGCAATGGGCTAAAACAGAAAACAGCAGCGATGCAGGAATAGTTCCTGATAAGTCAGTTTTAATACTTCCGTTGCTGATTCCATTAAGACAAAAAATAATCGGCATAACTTTAAAGGGGGTACATCCTTCTTGCTGATGGCTTTATTCTGTTCCAGGCATTTGTTCTTGGAAATGGACAGGGAGAGTAACGTGACTTGGTTTTTCAGAAGACCTGATAAAAGGTACCATCAGTAACAAGGGTTTGATCTTGATCTGTAACTGCCTAAAGCGAAGGACGCAGACAGTGGCATGAAGAGATAATCTATTGTATTAGGAGAGTGAAGGCATTAAGTGATATGATCATGGATCCATATTGCTCCATTCTGTTCCTGATAATTGTAAATGAACTGAAATTGCTGCGCGATTGCAAGGTAGTCAATTTCTACTGGGTAGGGGCAAGGGGTTGACAACTTTTAGCTCAAAGTAGGATGTGTACTGCAACAGGATTGGTGTCTGGGCTGAGCAGCAACAGCAACTTGCATTTAGGTAGTACCTTTAAAGGTAATAAAACATTCCAAAGGACTTCACAAAGGCATTATAAACAAAATATGGCGCTGACCCACGGAAGGAGGTATTTTGTTGGATGATCGAGAGCTTAGTCAAAGTAGTAGGTTTTAAGAAGTGGCTTTAAAGAAGGAAAGTAAGGTATTAGATAGGTGGAGTGCGTTAGCAAGGGAACTCCTGAGTTTAGGGCCTAGTAAGCTGAAAGCCCAAGCCATCAGGAGTGGAGCAATTATGATCAGAGAATTGCAAGAGGTCAGAATTTTAGAAACGCACATCATCTTAGTGGGTTGTGAAACTGGAACAGAATCCAGGAGATAGAGAGGGGCTCAGCCAAGGAGGGCTTTGAAAACAAAAATGAGAATTTTAAAATCAACAGCCAATGGACAAAAGCAATTCAGTGCAAAGAACAACCTGACAGCAGAGTTTTGGATGATCCTAAGAGACTGACCCCAAAATTATTTAAAATAAGCAGATCTTGAAGTAACAATTACATGGATGAAGGTTTCAGCCACAGTAGATTTTTTTTGTTGTGCAAGTTAACATCAGACACATGGAACGAGGGCAATCTTTATAAACTTTCATTAACATTTGTACGCAATGTCACTTCCTTTTAAAAGGGAGATTTTCCTCTACAAATGTTTCATAGTTTGAACAAGTTTTAAAAATAGTATTATAAATGAGCTTCTAACAGGAGACTACATATACCAGAGAATGACTAATATAGGTCATGGATATTAAACAAAATTATAAATTTGTTCCCAGAAAACACTTGTATACGAAGTTGTGTAAAATTTTTGTTCAAGAAAAGGAGGAGAAAGGAGGGAATGACAGGCCAGTTTGCCTGACACTTTCAGTGGGAAAACACCGGAATCTATTATTAAGTAAATGGTATCAGGGCACTTTGTCTATGGAGACACAGGTACATGTGAGGGACATCCAGCCAGTTATAGAAGTGGAAATAGGTGGTCAGCAATGGCTGTGTGGTTGGAAGCTCATTGCAAAGTCAAATGTGGCAGTCTGGTTCAGCCTCAAGGCAGTTGTTAGAACTGAGTACGAGGTGGAGCTTGTAGCAGAATCCAAAAGTTTTCAGTCTTGGCAATACTTACCTGGAGGAGATGGGAGCAAAGGTTGTCATTGAAAGTATGTTTACTCTTTGTATATTCAAGGCTGCAATCCCAAAGGCCAGTTTCCTGTCAATGAATATTACATTTTTGTCTCGTCAATAAATGTGACTTTGTTTTTAAGACTAAGCTGGGAGTGGTTGTATTAGTTGGGTCATGGGAGGTGCAAGTTGAGGGGGGTGGTGGTGTAAGAGATTAGTTCGCAGCAATGATAATTGCTTCATGGTGCACCATGTCTAAATAGCATGAAGGAGCAATTTACCAAACAAAGCAGGTCATCAGATTACACTGCCAAAAAGCAGTCGAGTTCAAAACCCCCGAGGCAGGAATTATGAGCGAGAATTCAGACTCTTCAACTTCAAGTTGGGAGATGACCTTATTGGAGATACACAGAATACTTAACAGGATAGTCAAAGTAAACTTCAAATGTCAACACAAGAGCACAGTTACGAAAGACTAACTTAAGCCAGATGTTAGCAAGCATTTCTTCACACAAAATGTTATTAATGGATGAAGTAGTGCAAGAATTGTTGAGGCTAGGACATTAAACTAATCTGACAATGGGATGACTTTAGAGTTGGTTTACTGGCATTCCCCTGCGGCTGCCAACAATTTTTATCTGGAGTTTTAAATATTCAAACAGCACCCAAGGTAAAATATTTATTGCTGTAACAATAAGACAAAACTTTAAATGTTCATTAACTGGAAAATTGCCTTTGCAGCCAGATGCTTTAACATATCAGGAGTTCAGCTGAATGACAAATACATGGTGCTGTCTCCAACAATGCTGCTCCATCAACGTCCTGATATATTGAGTAACAGTGAAATCAGTGACCCACCGAAGTGGGATCTACAACAATGTCGTTACATTATGGTTACCAATTGCAGCAGTATAACCGCAGGGACCCACCCTCTCACAATTACCCTCAAAGTTCCAGTATTAGAGAGTGTCAATCCAGATCCAATTGTCCAGTGTAAACAGGACAGGGTGGGGTGTTGCTTGCCAAGTTCACTTACTCAAAATTCAGTATCCAGTTAAGAGACTGAAACATCTTTATAGATAGAGTTGGGTAGAAATGTATGGTGGCCGGGGTGCAGGGTAAAAGTTGGCTGGAAGTCAAACGTGGGCGGCACAGCGGATCAGTGGTTAGCACTGCTGCCTCACAGCACCAGGGACCTGGGTTCAATTCCACCCTCGGGCGACTGTCTGTGTGGAGTTTGCATGTTCTCCCTGTGTCTGTGTGGGTTTCCTCCCACAGTCCGAAGATGTGCAGGTTAGGTGAATTGGCCATGTGTTCAGGGATGTGTGGATTAAGTGGGTTACAGGGAGATGGGTCTGGGTGGGATGCTCCGAGGTTCGGCGTGGACTTGTGGGGCCGAAGGTCTGTTTCCAAACTGTTGGGATTCTGTGATCTATGAAGGCTGGCCTGTGGCCAGAATGCACTACATGAGAGCAATGATGCCCAATAGTGTGTTTCTACCTTTTGTGAGGAAGTACTGCTCTTGGCAGCTGCTGGCCAATCTGATTAGCTGGCAACATCATCACTCATGGCATTTACAGCACTCGCTAGTGAACACTGCCAGGAGTGCAGGACAAAGCCTGAAGAGGAACACTGCTGCCCCACAAGGTAGGTCCTGGGATTTCAGGATAGGGTGAGATATTAATGACAGATTTGCTGTTTGAGATAAGATGCATTGCTTGCTGTGACACCTTTGCAGCCTAGAGGTGAGGGAGCAAAATGTTTCTGCCTCCAAGGCGAGGGCCTCTGTCTTCTAAACCTTCCCTTGCATCCCCCATCAACCTCCTTCCCCACACCCCTCTCACTGACATAATGCATTAGGTTCCTCTTTTTTTATCTTTGCGCCACCAATGCTTCAGAAAATTCAGGGGAGCAGGACTTAACATGCATTCACATCACTAGCACTCCAATGGCATTTCGATTGATAATTGTACTCACTACAAAATTTAAAGTTTTTGAATATTGTGGGGCTTTCTTTTTCAGGGAAAATAGAGTGAAGGGGTCACGTGAATTGTTCTGAATTCTGTTGAAGTGGGCCCAGATGGCTTGGTTGTAGAGAGGATAAAAGTGGCTGTGGATTTGGTAAAACGGAGGATGGTTGTTTTGCTGAGAAAAATATGCATGATGGCCTGTAAGCAATTATCAAAGCATCTGTGCAAACAGTAGATAAACTATACTATATAAACTATAACTAGGGGCGGCTCAGTGGTTAGCACTGCTGCCTCACAGCACCAGGGACCCCGGTTCAATCCCACCCTCAGGCGACTGTGTGTGAAGTTTGCACATTCTCCCTGTGTCTGCGTGGGTTTCCTCCGGGTGCTCTAGTTTCCTCCCACAGTCCAAAGATGTGCAAGCTAGGTGGATTAGCCATGCTAAATTGCCCATGGTATCCAGGGATGTGTAGATTAGGTGGGTTACAGGGGGATGGGTCTGGGTGGAATGCTTTGAGGTATGGTGTGGACTTGTTGGGCTGAAGGGCCTGTTTCCACACTGTAGGGATTCTATGATCTATGATCTATACCAGGGGGTCAGGTTCTTATGGGTAGGTGACCTGAAGGAACAAACAGCAAGGCAACATCTTGAGGGATTGCCTCCAATGCATGCACAGCATCCCTGACGGAGGTGCAGAGATAGCACAGTGTGGAGCTGGAGGAACACAGCAGGCCAGGCAGCATCAGATGAGCAGGAAAACTGATTTTTTGGGTCCCGAGAGGAAAAAAAAAGAGTAAAATGTAAATCTTGCTCAATTATCTAACTCTAGGACTGAGTCTGTGCATTTGTTGGGTAAGAAAGTGTAAATCTTGATTTTGTACAAACTGAATTTAGTTTGCAGTTGGCATGAAACTTAAATCTACACATCTTAGATTCCATAAGTGGTACTAATGACATTGGCTGGATTCATACCTGGCAGAAAGGAATATGTTGGAGGTCAATAATTTCAGCTACAAGACACCGCTGCCTAAGTTCTTCAGGATAGGTATTTTCTAAATGACTTATTTGAATATGTTATTATACACCTCTGGAACAGGTGCAACTTGAACCAGGGCGTCCTGCTCAGAAGTAGGGAGACTAACACTGTGTCACAAGGTTCCTTCTTTTAAGTTCTTCACAGTAGTTTAAAACTCCTAATCCCAACCCTGGTGACCCCAGTCCCCCCATTATCCCTCCAGCAGGATGCCATCACAAAACATATTCTTCACCTTCACTCCACCATCAGCATCTTGCAGGCACTATTCCATTCATGAATAGAATTAAGAGTCAAAAGTTGATCTCCTGTGATAGAATTGAAGTTAAAACAAAGGGCACACATATTTAAAAGAGATGGAGAAATATTTTCTGAGGGTTGAATGTGTTTGAAATCCTTTTCTTCAAAAGGCACTAAGTGCAGAACCTTTAAAAATTGACGAAGATAAATTCTGGATTACCAAGGGGATGAAAGATTATTGGAGATATGCCTGAATGTAGAGTTGAGGTTAAAAATCAGAATAGCCATGATCTTATTGAATGACAGAGCAAGCTCAAAGGACCAAATGGCCTCCCCTTGTTTCTTGTTCATACAGTTTTGGAGACAAAGTCCCATCTTCATACTGAGATGAACCTCCATTGCATTGTGTAGCACTATCATTGTCATAAATCAAATAGACTTCAAACAGATCCAGCAACTCCAGACAGAGCATCCATGAGGTGCTGTGGGCCATCAGTCGAATCATACTCCATCTGAATGGACAAGGACAGCAGATACACAATCACCTACAAAATTCCCTCCAAGCCACTCACCATCCTGACTTGGAAATATACACAGTCATTCCTTCACTGTCAATGGATCAAAATCCTGGAACTCCCTCCCTAACGGCATACTGGATCTACCCACAGCACATGGACTACAGTAATTCAAGGAGACAGCTTACCACCATCTTCAAGAGCAACTAGGGATGAACAATAAATGCTGGCCCAGCCACGATACCCACACCCCATCCACAAATTTAAAAAAAGTCTCAGTGACTAACTATCATGGTAACCAATCAATCACAATGACTAAAAGACATATGGTCTATAAGTCATGTTTCACTCTGGTTTCTGACCTGTCCAGTAGTACCATCAGCTGGGACAATAACACAGGGGACTTCACAGGAGGTGACTGACAGTCAAGGAAGAGAAATGAAGGTTTTGCTAGACCAGGAACAAAAGAAGTCACTGAGCACAGGGTAAACGGCAGTGACCACATCTGCAGCAAGTGTTGGCTGCTTGAGGAGCTCCGGCTCAAAATTGATGAGCTGGAATCCGAACTCCAAACACTGCAGCACATCTGGGAAGGGTTATGTACCAAAATTCAATGGACTCTGGGGTGGTTCCTGCAGATTGCAAAACAACCAATGTGACGCCACTGTTTAAAAACGGAAGTAGACAAAAAGCAGGTAACTATAGGCCAGTTAGCTTAACTGCGGTAGTGGGGAAAATGCTTAAATCTATCATTAAGGAAGAAATAGCAAGACATCTGGATATAAATTCCCCCATTGGGAACACCCAGCATGGGTTCATGAAGGGAAGGTCATGTTTAACTAATCTGGTGGAATTCTTTGAGGACATTACTTGCGTGGTGGACAATGGGGAACCTGTGGATGTAGTGTATCTGGATTTCCAGAAGGCATTTGACAAGGTGCCAGACCAAAGGCTGCTACATAAGATAAAGTTGCACGGTATTACAGGTAATGTATTGGCATGGATAGAGGATTGGTTGACTAGCAGAAAGCAAAGAGTAGGGGTAAATGGGTGTTTTTCTGGTTGGCGGTCAGTGGCTAGTGGTGTGCCTCAGGGATCAGTGTTGGGACCGCAATTGTTTACAATTTACATAGATGATTTGGAGTTGGGGACTAAATGTGGTGTGTCAAAATTTGCAGATGACACTAAGGTGAGTGGTAGAGCAAAGTGTGCAGAAGACACCGAAAGTCTGCAGAGGGATATAGATAGTCTAAGTGAGTGGGCAAAGGTCTGGCAGATGGAGTACAATATTGATAAGTGTGAGGTCATCCATTTTGGTAGGAATAACAGCAAAATGGACTATGTTTTAAATGGTAAAAAACTGCAGCACGCTGCTGTGCAGAGGGACTTGGGTGTCCTTGTGCATGAATCGCTAAAAGTAGGATTGCAGGTGCAGCAGGTAATTAAAAAGGCAAATGGAATTTTGTCTGTCATTGCTAGAGGGATAGAGTTTAAAAACAGGGAGGCTATGCTGCAGCTGTATAGGGTCCTGGTGAGGCCACACCTGGAGTACTGTGTGCAGTTTTGGTCTCCTTCCTTGGGAAGGGATATACTAGCACTGGAGGGGGTGCAGAGGAGATTCACTTGGTTGATTCC